GTAGTAGTAGTAGTAGTAGTAGTAGTAGTAGTAGTAGTAGTAGTAGTAAAGTGCTTGTTGTCTGGTTGTTTTGGGGGGGGGTCAAAAAACAACGACGGGGTCCCAGAATTTGTTTCTACCCCCTTGTAGAGAAAAAGAAAGAAGATGCGGTGTAACGGGGTTGCAGTTTTTGTTTGTACCTTGTTGTTGTTGTTGTTGTTGTTGTTTGGTTTAGTTTGTGGGTGGTTCATTGGTTTTCTGAGAACAAGCCTCACATGTGGCAAACCTGTAGATTTCCTGTATGATGTGACTACACAAAGCGCAACTGCAAGCTGGAATCTGATGCAGCAAAACCTCTGAAGTGGTTTCAAAGAAGCCTGAAGTTGAATACTATAGACTCCAGACTATATCAGGAATGAACGCAGTGCCACATATTCTCGAGACATGAGATCCTTACTGGTTCGCAACTTCTGTGTAGGTTTGATGAGCTCGTGTGCGCATGTGACTGCTCACATGAATAATTAACGTGTGTCACCCTGCATAATGTGATTCCTTGCTTCCAGCCTCCCCCAATCTTCACTCGGCTTCCAACCATTTCCAACCAACCCATTCCACCAAATCCAATCAACGACACCCAGGGCTAAGGAGTCAAGATCAATCGTGGATCTGCTCCATTGGGTGTCCTGAGGAGGGGGCCATTATATAGATCCACAATAATGATCCGGGGAAGGGGACTGCTGAGAACATACTTTGCAAAACCAGCATGCTTGGTTCTGTGCAGTGCAACTGCATTCTGCATTCCGCATCGGATGGAACCTCCGGTTGCAACCCCACCACTAGCCCCGTCTTGCTTTTTCCAAGGGGCCAAAGGAGGCCGCCTAAGCAGAATTTGCTGCAAGTGAAAGAGCTAACAATCAAAAATCCACCACAATCCTGGAACACCAACCACCAGCTTCAAAAAGATGGGCCAGGAAGCTTTGCTTGTTGAGGAAAGAAGCAAATGAACATGATAAGGAGTTATTCCGAATAGCAGACGCTTCCAAGCGCATCCTGACCAAAAGCCACCATCAACCAGGCTTGTTACATTGGGCCACCCAGTTATTGACGCAGGGATTCTTGGAGAACTCCTTCCTTGGCAGCAAGCGCCAATTACCGCTACCGCTACCGATGTTCGTCACACTCCATCCAAGCTACTCCATGGAAACTGAAGTTGAGATCGACCCGGATTACCAAGAGAGGTCAAGTGACTTTATAGGACTCCTCAATTACACCCATGGGATACTCTATAGGGTCTATATACCTCTGCCGGTAAAGGACATAATTCTCTTGTGTGGCACACACTTCACCGTCCAAAAGATTCGAGACCATCACCATCACCGTTATTTTTTTTGTTAACCTGTCTTAAAGTCCCAAACGTCAGGGAGTGAGCGATAAAACGACCTTACATCTCCAAAAACCCAAGATTGGCATCTGCAGTTTCAAGCAGAAGTAAACTCCCCTTCATGCGCTTCATCTTCCTGTTTGTTTTGGTGGGACCAAAACATCAGGACATACTTCTGCCAGTTGACCAGCTCCTCTTCCGAGATGCCCAGTGGACGCGGAAACATCGCTGTTGCACGCGATGAAGGAGGTGCTGATCGGCCGGGGGGAAATCGAAGGTACCTGCCAACGTGTCAAATTCTTCGCTGGGCCACAAGATGATCAGGTCACCTTTTCGATCCCCAAACCCTCTGCCTACTGCCATCACTTGTTGTGCGATGTTGTCCAGTTCAAAATGGCGGTTGAATACTCTAAAGAAGAAACACATGATTGAGGAACCGCACACCAAAATCCGCCGTGATAGTGATAGTGGGATCTATGCTCAGGAACTAGGGTATGCTTGCTTGGTTGAAACATGTTGAAAAGAAACCTACCTCAATATGCAATCATCGATCATCTTATGTAAAGATAGTGGGTCTCAGTCACTTTCATGTTCTTTTAAACACATCCACCCACCCCACAGTACCACAAATAAGAACCCCGAAAAGGCGCAAAAAGCCCCAAACGCCCATCCAAAACGACACGCACCTCTAGCTCCACGGCTTCGTAGCGCCCGGCCGCTGCGAGGGCCAAGGGTTCTTCGATCTCCTCCAGCGCCGCCTCAGTCGCCGTCCGGCCGTGGGCGCGGTCGATCACGTCGGGGGGGGTGCTCTCCTGCTAGGGCCGACTGGTTGGGTGGGTGCTGGGTGGATGTTGCTGGCGCTGGGGTGGCTTTTTGAGAGGCTAAACATCCAGATCTGCTCAACATGATGGTACCTTTACCAATGAAGTCCTTACAAACTCATTGTGAGACTGGCAAGTATCCAGTGGCAGCCACCTGGAGTTGGTTCTAGATGGCCAGGGACACTCCTGGAAGAACTTCTACTTTGACGCTTCACCAACTCGTCATGCTTGTACAACTGAAATGTTCACAGTAATGACATGCCGACCATCACTCGGAAAAAGGACTACCTATTCACATCTCCCTTACCCAGCGCTCTTCTTTCGTACAGGATCCTAGGACAATACACGAACCACCCTTGTCCAACAGGCCTTGACTTTGCAGCTGTACCCGTAGCAAGTCATCCCATCTTGGGCAAACCCTCCTCCCTTGCGGTCTTCATGCAGCTCAAAGGCAGGTAGCTGCACCGCAACGCCTCAGAATCGGCGGAGAACGCAGGTGCGCCCCGAGAACAGGAGAGAACATGAATGGTACCACTACCGCGGCAAGGGATTAACAGCGAATCATTCAAAGAAGACCGTGAATCATTTGTATCACAGCAGGGCGAGAATGCGAGAAGACACTCATGCGCGACACTCTGCGCGATGAGGCCGCAATATGTGATGCCCTTGGGCGTGTCAAACCAGCGACTGTACCTCCGACCCGATCCAGGCCACTCGGTGAAACCAATCCTTTCACTCATGGAATCTGCTTGACTTCAAAAGCCCAAAACCACCGGCCAAATGGATCCAAAACCGCGGCCCACCTAGACCGGACCCATAAAGACCACCATCCAGCCTTGGCTCAAGGGAGTTTGCAGTGAGAAAACCATCCTCCCATCACAAAAGGAACTCAACCACCCACCCACCAACCCACCACTCGGAACAGAAAAAGAACTTGGCCCAATCTCCCTCCTCCTTCCTTAATTCGCACACAGTGGATCGAAGAGAAAACAAACCCCAGAAGATGTGCCGTTCCTCCTTCTTTAATCCACGCCCAAGAAACGCTCCATCACCGCCGTTCCTGCTGCTTTCTGCTCCACACGCCTCATGTTCAAGGCAAATGTTCCAAGACAAAAAACAGTGTGGGGCTGCTAAACGTCTGCTGGGTATGTTTTGATTTGCTGGAACAAGAATCCCAACACACCAAGCAAAATAGGCGAATTGCCAATAGCAGGGCAACTGGTGATAGGCTTGACAGTCTCCCAACTCAGTAGACTATAGGAACTGCAGGATGGGTTGTGCTCAGTGCTATATACTTGGATCGAAGTTGGTCGATTCAACTCATCTTCATGACTTCAATCTGGGCAAGCTCTGAGTGACTTTTTCATCAGGCTGTTTGCAATATCAACCCACCAACACCGGCAGCAAGCAAACAGACTGGACCCAACCTGCTGGGCGCAGCGAAGTTCAGAAGAGATCTGGAGAAGACCAGCAGCGCTAGCAAAAGCGCCATGGCGCCAGAGGCGCCTGGCGAGTAGCACAGGTGCACAAACAGGTTTCTTAAACATTGCTCACAATGCTCAATGGACCAGATCGGATTATCACCATCGTGTCATCTAGTTGTGGGCGTGGGTATTCCAAGTTGATTCTTGGATCATTCATGTTCAGCGACAATCGACACTTACGGACTCGATACAGCCTGAAAAAGAGCTTGCCACAAAAGATCATAAGTCATAAGCCATACCTCGGACCCACAATAGCTAGTTTGCATTCCTTTACTAGATCTACTGTACTAGAACCCTCAAGGGAGTTTCCAACTGCGCCTGTCTGTGTCTTTGATTTTTATTGATGTCTTTCTCCGTCAATCCTGCTTCACTGCATTGGTGACAAATCCTGTCACTTCCAGCTGTTACACAAACTGGAAGTCCGATTTGTCATTTGTGGCAACTCCCTTTTTCTTGCTACTAGTAGCGATGCCCTTGTTACTATAGTGGCGAAGACCCTCCCTTTTTCATGCCCACTGGTAAATACTGGAAGACCCAAGATCAATCAGAGGATGACCGGAGATCACTGCAGCTCTGACAGCCCGTTGGGCCTCTGAGAGGACGTGCCATGGCGGAAAGAAAAGGCGCCGTCCAGGGGACCGCTGCAAGAAGGGACGGCTCGGCTGGAAGAAAAACAGATCTGTTGAAGTTCAACAGTTGAACGTCTCGAAACATAATTCACTTAAAACTCCGTTTGAATTGAGTCTTGTTCGGCACTATCACTAACCAACCCAAAGATTGGACTGGTAGCATGTTGATTCTTTTTCCTCAGGGCTGAGGGGTATTGGCTACAGCTGCTGGCATGTTGTGCTTTCAAGCATCTTGTGAGTCCTGTGTTTTTTTGTTCCAAGAAATGGGGCATGATGGCTTAAACTAATAGTGTCTCCAACAAACTAGTGCCAAGAAGGCCTCCATGCACCCATGGCATCTTTGCATGTCAAATGCTTCTGAGCCAACGCTCAAATGTACAGAAGGTGATAGGTTTCAAGAAAGCTATTTCACGCACAATTGGTTCAGACATATCGTCCAACTATAACCACAAGTAGGGCGAAGCCTAGGAAGTGCTCCAAGAAGAGAACACGTCCATCTTGATCGACCCTCACCACAGGTGGCGATCGACCCGTAATGTTTGTCAGGTCCCCAGGCCGCCGAGTCTATCCGTAGCTGTCACATGTCACATTCTCCTGGCCAGCTTGCAAGGCGGCCTGCAATTGCTCACCTCGGAGAAAGAGTTCCAAGGACATCGTGTAAACAGGACTTTTTGGGGGGGATAAAATCCGAGCAAACAAGCGGAGAACAGGAGCAACATATACCAACATACTCATGGCGATGGTCTAAATTGATTTGATTGGTGACGAAAGGCAAAGGACTAAAGACTTCCCCAAACACAGGGCTCCACGTTTGGTCTGCGAGCGATGCATCATGTAACCGAAGAAGAATCTAAACGAATCTCGACAATCTAATCATAGGTCTCTTCGTCGGGCTTCTATCTCTGTGGTGTATGATTTCAGAAACCAGCCCATTGAAGGTCTGCATCGGCATCAACTGATACCGTTTGGCATAATCCTTCATGGCTCCCATCATCTCATGGCGCGAGCAGCCAAATCGTGAGTGCTTGAGTAGATCTTCTTCCAGCAAGACCTCTTGCACCAACCTCTGTATCTCCGTATCGCGCCCCAGGACTTGCCACTGTCCTGACCATGAGTTGGAAAGAAAAGCCATCCGCAGCTTCTCTTTCACCATGTGGCTCGAATCCGAAGCCTCTGGGAGCAAAATCAATCTTCCTGAGTTGTTTCTTGTTCTGAGTTCTATTCACAAAACAACACATCGCTTCATTTTCATCAGTGTTCAATTCATCACCGATGTAGCCCAGTCCCTTCATTGCTTGAAGTGCCAGGCTTGGTGAATCTCTCATGACAAAGGGGCCACCGCCTTTGAAAATAGAACTTGCGAGGCGACTCCCGTATTTCATGTATTTCTCTCGTCCGCCCCTGCTCCCTGCGACAAACGGCACGAAAAACGCTACCTGGCCGCTATAGGGCACCCAGGCCTGAACGTTTGAATGTTGATTGATGACTTGATGCACTGCCAAAGTTGCAAGTTCGCCTGGAAAAACAGCAATTTTGCTCTTAACATTTGCAAGCCAGAACTTGGCACAGGCTGGCATAAGGTATTGCCCAGCTTCCATGTAACCCAAGCTTTCCAGGACACCCTGAACTTTTTCTACGACGCACTCATCAAATTCGACCCAGCAGCGATCCGCAAGTTGCACTGAGCCAGTTCCAACAGCATGAAGGATAGCTTGAATTAATGCGTGAGCCACGGTTTGGGGGAGCAGCTCGCAATCTCAATACTTCCAGCCCACTCTCCTGATATCGCAAGCGGCCACGAACGGTTTGTACTCAGGGACCAGAACCACAAAGCTGGGCTTTGTGCCCTCCAGGCCCTTGAGTTCAAGTATGGTCCTGTTACAATCACAATCTGATGTCAACACTGCGATCAGGTCAACACCTGGGCAAGTGGAGAGTCCCTGCATCACAGATGCGATGGCCGCATCGTTGGGTTCCAGCGAAGGATCAGTGAGACGACAAACTGGCTGGAATTTCACATCAGCCTCATTGATCAAGCGACCCCACTTCTTGCTGGCTTCTCTCCCCGGCGGGCCGAAGACCGTGGTATGAACCCGCCCTCGCTCTGCCAAAATATGGATGGCTTGTTGAATATCTTGAATACTGTGAGCGTCTGCATCAACCAAAAGTTCAGTCCGCCCTGGATTCATGGTTGTTTTGGACTGTGTGAATATGCCCACCTCAAGAATCCATAAGAATCCTACAACCCAAAGCATACAGCTGCTGGGTTCGGCCAGAAAGCTTCATCCCTCTCCTCAGTGCAGCCAGCATCCAACACACGTATGAGTCGAGTCTTATTGGGTTGGTTTTCCTCTTGGTATTTCTGAGCCTAAAAGAGTTGGCAGAGGTTCAACTCAGATCAACCTGCAGCCCTTTTCAGCTTGATATGTGCTGGTCTGCTCATTTATACAATCACTGAGGAGGTTAGATGAAGCCGGATGGAGCTCCACTGTTGCGCAGAAACCTTTTTGGGGTGAATCAGGAAGCAACAGTCTGTCTATCTGCTGGTCAGATTAGACAAAGCGATGGTTGTTCGGGCGGGAGTGTATCATCCCTACGCCAACCGCTCAACACCCTGGGCGTCCGTTCAGCACAGAGGGACCAGCATCCTTGAGCTGAAGATAGTAACATGCTCCACAGCAAATGATGACAAGGAAAGAAAGGGAAGCAAAAATCATCAAGGTTCATCACCCACCACATCCAACAAAACAATGCAACAAAATGTTGCATAAAACATCCTCAGAAACCAGTCTTTTATGAGGGTGGAATCTATATACATAAATGTGTTTGTTTGTGATCCGAAGAATATCATCAACCATCATCAACCTATCTGCTTAGCCAATATGCTTGGAAGAAGGGCAAACCGTTAACTGAGGCTCCAGGCTCTTCATCATGCCTTGCACCTGGTCACTGCTGTAGAGCTCCTTGCAAAAGGAGTGCCATGATGCTCGCCGGAGTGCAAGGAGGCCTATAGATGTTGCCCCAGAACGTGATCTATACAGTAGCAACTCTCAGTGACCGTCTGCCAGAAGAGGGGTGAGCTGATGAGGAGCTTTCCATTACATCACACGAGAGGCAAACATAAGGTCGTCAAGGAGTCGACGACTCTGTTGCAGATTCTTTGATGCAAAAAGCAGTTGGGCACACCACGCCCAGAACTGCTAAGACACGCCAAGGAGATTCTTCCCACCCCGGTGGCGTGTTGAGAACCGCCCTCCGCCCCCCCGGTCCGGGTGAGCCAATCGTCCTGACCACGCTTCGTGGCTTCAGCGGCCATACCCTGCGCGCTGGCTGCCGCCTGTTGGACCCAGTCCTGGAGATGTGTCGTGATGGACGTGCGGGTGGACACATATGAGTCATCTCCAACGGGATGTTGATATCTCCAAATAGATAAGATTTTGACATGCCTGTCTCAAAAGAATGGGTTACACAGTTACACCCGCATCATTGCTTTGAACATTAAGGGAAACAATAATTACTGCATGAAAAATATTATGTAAATCTGCGGCTCCCTGAGCTTTTCTTGAGCCGCAACCATATCATTTGGAAGTTTGAAAACGGTCGCTTTGTTGGTATGCAGCAGATTTGAAATGGAAGTAGTTTCTATAGCATTCCTCCATTCAAGGTCCTTGTTACTAATGAGCAAAGCCCAGAACGGGGACAACTTGGGAGTTGTGCCAGGCTTGAGTCATCCGATGTTCTGTCCAGAAAAGGTGCATCACTGTCAGCTGTAGATTGTCCTGTCCACGAAAGGTCTGATGTCGTCTAAGTGTCAAAGAACCCTGGACCCTGACAACGAAACATCCGACATGCGCTTGTTCATCTGTCCTGACTCTGCAAATCGCCTGCCATTTGCTGGGCCTCTTCTCGGTCGAAGCAGCGTGAGGAATACACACACACGTTGTTCGAAACCCTGACACACATCTATGCCTTCGCAAATTCCATCCGCATACGCTCTGCCAAACCCCTTATTCTTAGCCCAAAGAGAATGGGTCAACTTGGAAGTCCTCACTGACCTGGGGTAGATGATGGAGTGAGTGAAGGGATGATCCTTCCACCATTTTCACCACCCATCTTCTCCCGTTGGTCACACCCTTCCCACCGGAGCGCATGCGTGTGCACCTGTTTGGTGTAGTCAGCCGCCATGCCCTGCACATCCACCCTCAGCTTCACCAGGGTCTAGGAGAGCGTTTGAGTGGTGAATCCAGCCATATTCCGATGCCAGTGGTCACTTTGTATATCTATACTCCGGGGTGAGAGTAGATGGCGAATGTTTTCTTTTTGAGCAATCTCTATTTATAGGTGGAGCACACCTGGCGCAATCTACCTTTGATACGTTAACCACTGGTCATTGGAAAAATTGTGCCATCCTCTTTCCCGGCGGTGTAATTTAAACATATGTACCTGCCATGTACCTGCCATAATCGAACTATCTTGCAATATATCCATGATGATTTCACTACAGTTGGCAGCCGGCAATGTTGATGATCTGCAGAGTGCGTACATATCCAAACTACCACGGTCATGGGACGAGAACATCTTCTCCATGAACTGCCTAGGTTCCCAGGGCAAAGAAGTTACTTTATAGTGGCTACGACCATCCCGAACCAAGCTAAACAAATTAACCAGGCAAAATCTCATGATGGGGTCCCTGACTGGCCCATCATTTGCTGCAACTTGGCTGCGCCCTGCGCACGAGCACAGTCCAGGAGGCCAAACTGACTCCCCGTGTGAGAGATTCTGACTACCTTGAAACGAAAGAAGCGTTTCATGATTCATGCTAGGTGCCATAGAGGTCAAATGACTTCGAATATATTGTTTTATCATACTATAAAGAGTTATATAATATAGTTCAAGTTCTATTCTTCAAGTTTGGAACCTGAGGGAAACGGCTAGGATTCCTGTGGTTTCATCGAACAGGTGGTGTGGTCAGGATGGCCACCGATGAATTGAATTCATGAGTTCATCCACATGCAGAAAGAACATGCATATACATGAGCTTCTGCCATCTTCAGGCCATGTTTTTCTCCCAAATCATTGGGTCTTGAACCCAAACGGACCAAAAAGTACAGTGCTTTCAGAGTAGATGGCACTTGCAAGCCGGCGATGTCCTAGATAGAGATTGGGGAGTCCACGATTGCACCACCAAACTTCGGGGCCCTTGGTGCCATCGAAGCTCTGCAACTAAAACAGTTCTTGGTCAAATCCAATTGATCTCACTCACCGACGCATCGAATCACATCCACTGCCCCTCGCCCACCCTCGCCTCTCCGCGGCTGATGGCTTGAAGCAGTTCGCCACCATCGCCTTGCTCCCACTGCTTCACCTGCGCGGCCAAACGTAATATGGGGACCCCAACCAATGGGCATTGGTGGATTTCCAAAGATGGAGCAGAAGCCTTAAACCGTCGGTGGTGTGCGTATGAAAATGGGGTTGGGCCTTGTTGTCGTCCCAATGGGATCTGTTGAGCAAACATCGGCCCTCCCCAGGTGCCCGAAGAGGTCCGCCGCGCCTGCGCTTCGGCGTCGCTGGAGGCTTTCTTGGCCCGGGCGTTCAGGAGCCCAAAGACCTCATCGTCCCATGCACGAGAGATGATGAGGTGATGTATTCAATATGTATTCTGATGTTGTGTTGTTTTTCCTGTTTTTTTTTGTGTGTTTTCACGGGACAAGGGATTAGGCACTCTCATATCCTACTGTTCTCTGATAAGCACGCCAACATACGCCGTAGTTTCGCCAACTACATAGCGGAATCCTACCTCTAAATGCTCAGGACTTCCATCATTCATGCAAGAAACATGGTTCAAAAATGTTCCAATCATCCTCCAATCTCAGAAACTGTGTTGGACATCGCACCCGACCTGCTCGGCTTCTTCCAACACCTTCTCGCGTTGCTCCTCCTGTCAGCAAAGCACTGTTCGTCTCTTGGGATGTAGGAAATATGTTGAACATTCTGAAACTGAAATTATATGAAAACACATGGTTTGCCTTATGCTGTCAGGTAAATCTCATAGATCCAGAGTCTAAACTAAACGTAAAACCATTGGCCCAAATCATCTGATCCCACTCGATCTGCCCAACCTGCTCCCGGACGACCTGGTCTTCATTCTTCCCGGCCTGGAGGTTTATCGCCGAGTGAGTCTTTCAGGCGAATGTTGGGAGGATATGGGACGATAGTCATGAGCTCTATCAATATGATAAATTATGTTGAGGATTCAAGTCTGCTGTACCTTTACAACACTCTGAACAAACGCACATGTTTTCACATGAGTCTAGTACATAAATGGTTTGCCCAGTTCACACCCACTCAGGCCTCTTCTTGCAAACGTTGCTGCAAAGTCTCCACTTCGTTGCTTTGTGAGGTCTGTCGCGCAGGAGCTTCCGCGGCTTGCTAAAGACTTTGAAAGCGGGCTTCAGACCCTTTAGCACATGGCAAATGGCTCCAACAGCTAGGAGACGCAAAACCACGGCACGAACAGCGACCTCAACCTCCTCACAAATACCAACTTGGTTGGTATGAAATGAGAATGGGCTTCAAGATTGGGTTTCCCTACCCTCGGTTCAAGAATCTTCTTGGAATCGACACTCATGCCATGCAGTCTGACCTCAACGCTTGGACCAAACACTCCCTGGAGATCCATCGATGGTTGTTCTGTGGATGGAAAACGGCCCCGAAAGGATGAGCATGAAATCCGAAGACCAAACAGGTGAGGCCATCCACTTCGGTGATTATTCCAGGGGAGTGTAACTAACTGGGAGTGTATACCTTATGAACATTTCAGGATGACTGCAGCCGGCTCACACCACATTCTGTGCCCAAGCAACTAACCAAGAACAAAGGACACAGCCAAATGAGGTTAGTTAGTGCCTATTCCACCTCACTGCTATAGCCTGGAATAGTTTGGAAACTGAACTCAACATACACTGTACACTCAAAGACTCAAAGACGTCGTAAGCGGCACTGGAATCTGCTGGAAATTGAATTCTTTCGATTTGGCGATGTCTACCAGGCTCCCACTCCAACGCAAGGGCTTCGCATATCCCTGGCCTCATCTCCCTGCAGACGGTTCAATTCATTCTCCGCCTCCTGAAAGATGGTTGTGGAAGAAGTTATTCGCTTGCTGGAGTGGAATCATCAACAAGAGCAGTTCTTCCAAACTTGTGAGTAGCAATTAATTATATACTACATTCATATTCAGCATGATTTCCCACTGTTACATTGGCCAAACATATGACGTATGACTCATTTACTGTAGTCAATGTATCGCTCCTGGCGCTTCTTCTCAGCCTCCTCCTGGACATCGGTTGCTGGATATTTGCGGTGAAACAGAGAGTTGGCTCAGCTTCGCTTCAGCTTAATGAGAGGTGTAAGGTGGAACGACAATACCCAACCTGACCATCTACTCAAGGTCTGCGCATCTTCACCTAAATATCCGTAGGAAATATGTGGGATACAGCACACTACCCTAAGTCCCAGTGGTTTGTTGTTCATTATGTGTCAGAAAAAATGGATGTATGGACGGGCAACTTATATAATGATAAATACACAATAGCTTTGTTGAATCTGCATCGTACCCATTTCTATGAATCAAAGACTTGAACAAACTTACAGGACATACCTGTCCGATTCATCCCGCTGATACAAACGAGAAATTACTGACAAATATGTCACTGCCCCTGTAGTGGAACTTCCCAAGCGTTCCTCGATAAATGCCTTCCCCTCAACCGGCAAGTCACTTCAAACGGCATCATCAGCCGCTCCTTCTTCATCTGAAGGATCTTCAGCTGGATGTTGATCATGTCTCTCTTATTGCGAATGAAAAAGGCCTGACAGCAGCTCCCGGCCGCGCGGTTTCTGCCACAGCTCCCAAACTTGGAGGAGGGATAAACCAATGGGTTTCTTTGATCCACCTAAGCAAGCTGTAGGGTGCTTGAGACATGTCAAACACTAATGCTCCGCCTTGAGCACCTTGAACTAGGTGAGTGGTTTTCTCGCGTGGGGCTCGTTTGGGCCAGCCAACGCAACAAGGTAGTGGATAGAAAAGTTGAGAGCCTGTTGAAGTGTTGGTTCCACATTAAAAGCCGAAAGGCACCAACAAACATGTCCGGCAATTCAGTAAATTTCTTCGGATTCCACTCGCATGGAGACAAACTAACTAACATCTGTCGGAGTCGCATCGAAGGTAAACTTTGCAAAGCTGCCTGCACCAGGATGGAGCACAAAGGAACTCCTATGCCCAGGCCCTCATCTGCCTGCAGGAGCTGAAGGGATACAATCTGCAGCTCATGCACGACCGGGAAATTAGACCAAAAACTAGGTCTCAGAGTGTGATTCAATATATACTCTTTACAAACACCTGCAACAAACAATAGTACCAACTTTACATGATTTTTTGAGTGAGCACAGTTCACTTGAATGAGACAATGATGACAATTCTCTGCTTCCGAACCAATCACAAATCACCGGGTTTCTCCACGCGTCGCGGCATCACACCTTGCTGGCTGAGTTGAGGAGGGAAATCTGCAAACCTGAGGTCAAGTGGCTGGTCGAAGAGGGACTCTCGTTGGGGACATGCCAAACTCATGCGGTTTGGAGGACCAAGAGCGACCAAGTCAACTCAGTAGACGTCTGCCCTGGTGGGGTTATGGTGCTCATTCTATACATAGCTGAAATTGATATAGCCAACTAAGATCTTGTGGCTGTGCACCACCAAGCTGCCAAATCACAATTTTGTTGGTCTTCTCTGAGCAGCATTCTGCATAACCATCTCTCGTAAGCAAATGAGCAGCCCTCATCAGAACCAAATTTCAACCTTTCATAGATCAGAACATCAGTGCTTTGCGTGTCTTTTTCAAGTAGCTGACCTTAAACCAAACTTTGGCCTCTTTAAAGGGGCCCTTCTGTTCAGAAGTCAGTATGAATCTTGGGCCTGTGTGCCCCTGGCTATATGTGGCCAAAGGTGGGTGTAACAAAATCATGGTCCATGTCACAGGTCCATGAATTGGAAGGGTCAGGCCTACTGATCCTGCTAGCTGGGCTCAAGTGGGTTGACCCCAGCTCTTTGTTTGTCTTGCCTTGCCACCTATGGGAGAAGCTTGGCTGCACCATGCAATGGAACAGGCAGCCAGTTGTTGTTCATGTTCCTTCAATGGAAGCCAATGCAAAACACACAAACAAACAGGACTCAGGACATAGACATAGAATTAGAATTGGAAAAGTGCATCAGTATCAATAATCATAGATTGAACAGTAATGGAGGACTCTAACCCAGCCCGCTTTTGTCTTAACTCTAAGTTCAAAGCCTCCAGATTCTACAGATACAGATACAAATACAATCTAATCCACTTCAGGATTCCTGAAGTCTAAAGTAAACTCTAAGTAGATAAGCTGAGAAGCTCATTATATGACTGGGTGACTGGCATTTGGACAGTAATTAACTGTTTTCCTGCCAAACCCAATCCAAACACACACCTGAGGACCATGGCAAGAAGCGGCCATGGCAAGATGATGGAGGGGATGATGACACACAATTGACCGTGCTGCCGGATTTTTGGATTGATCAATACCGAAAGCTGGCAGACCTCTCAGATTCAGAGATGCAGGAACTTCAAGGAAAAAAGTCACATGGCAGCAAGCAGCGGTTTGTATATGGAAAGCAGTGCGAGAGTAAAGCTGCACTGCAAATTGTTCTTCCACTACTCAACTTTTGGTTGTTGGGCTTGAAGTTGCATTGGTAGTCAAATATGTCATGACTAAATTCGAACATGACACTATGAGACTTTTCATGTGTCATGGAACCATATGATTCGATTGTAATGTACTGACTGTACTGTACTAATTTAACTATAGTTAAAATGGCAATAATTGCAATTGTACCACACCAATTGATGCAGCTAGTTGAATTCAAGTCTGAGTCTGATTCTTTGATTTCCACATAGTAACAGAAACATCATCAACTCATCATTTTAGGCTCACAATGTGGGGTGCTTGCGAAGGATGCGGAACCAGCGCATATGTTTCGAGCCTCGGATACAGTTTTATACAGCATACACCGACCCTGACTGTAGTCAGAATAGTCGTTTCAGTCTTAAAACTACTTGTGGGTGTGTGGCCGTGTGAGACTTTTGGGAGATGACAGTGCAGCCCACAGCACACTGCATACTAGAATGGGCTTGGCTTCACTTGATTTTTGAGCCACTCATTTTCAGTCAAGCGTTTGAAGGAAGAAACTGGAGCAGTACTTTGGCCTGACCATTGAGCAGCAGTTCTCTTCAGATGTGGATGAATTCTGCAAATCCTGGTGCACAAAGCACTATGAATGCAACTTGCTCGCACAGTCAGCCAATCACCAAAACTCTAAACACCCATGGTCTGTCCTGTCATCTTGTGGTGGGTTGGAGTCGTGTGGCCATGGGACACTGTACAGCTGGCAGCTGGACAATCCAACTTCGAAGCTTGTGAATGTGGTTTCTGACTCTTTTCCAGCCAAGCAGAATACAGAACTGTGCCACAACCACCGTGTTTGGGCATAATTTGTATAATATGATGTTACAGGGGGTCAATTGCATGCTTTTGATATTGCCATTGCTAACAGCATACTAAATGGAAGCAGCTGATGCAAAAACGGCGATAAGGTGTTCATAGACGTAGCATGGCTGCACTTCTGTCGCAATCCTGAGAAAGGAGTGAGGAATGACTACAGATACAGGACTGGAAGCGAGATAGCAACTGGATTGCAGGACGCAGTTTGGCAGTGTAGACTCAGCAGTAGTGACACCTAGCAAGCAGTGGCAGCAGTGCTAAGTAAGCTGGCGGCTGGCTTTGGAGAGGTGGTTTTGGAAGCAGCGTTCAGCCACAGCAAGCGTTGGCAGGGTTGGGAAGCAAGTCTTGGACAGCAGGTCGGTGAAGCTTGTTTTGGATGTTTTGGGCAGGTCGGGAAGTATGTTTGGGGCAGGTCAGGGGAAGCAGTGGTTTGGTTTGGAAGCGGGTTCGATTTTGAACAGCGGTTTCCAGTTTCAGTCTGGGAAACTTGGAGCTGTAGCTCACCAAGCATTAACTCCAGCAGCCTTGTCACACATCAGCTTTGTTCACTTGCCACTAGCCTATAATCCTATCCTAAATAAAGTTATATCATTATATCATATCAAATCATATCATATCTTTATATTGATTTGTTTGAAACCCCCACGCACTGAGACCATCACTTCTTCGCCGACGTCTCCCATGACATCTGTGGGGGCTGGTGCGCTATTTGTGGAGGTGAGCATTCCTGCATTTCCATCAATGATCCTTGACAACAATTGGAGTTGGAAGTGGTACTGGCATGACATGACTAGATGGCACATGAATCATGAATCATTTCGACTTTTGATGTTGACAGTAGCCTGGGCCGTGTCAAACGAAACACTGCCAAGTGAGGCTATATGATATGATATGATGACATTTGGCACCAGTTTTGGTAGTCAAGAAACCACTCACTGTCTAAACTTATATGATACTATGATATGGACTGCAGTGGTTGATGTCTAACCACAAAATCAGATCAATCCAATATCACCATATGAATCATTTTCATTTTAGTTATATATTATACAATATTATATTATATACATTATATATATATGGTGACATGATATGAATTTGTCACACAGCACATCATATCAGTAAGAGAATCATTTGAATCAGTTCAATTCAGTTCAAATCTTTTCAGACGATTGATTTCTCTCACATCGATCTCAATCAATGGTGTGAGAGTCAGCTGGTGCATTTTTCATGGCAGTGGATATGTCTCCGAGGATGACTTGGCAGTTCTTGGAATACCATGTCCATTGTTCAGCAACCTCAACCGGCGCACAAAGCAACAGGGATACAATCCATTTGTGTTGCAACTCAGCTGATGAATGACAGAGTGACCGAGTGACCACAGACTACTCATGCAATGCGTCTCATGGAGTAGAGCCCCAAACACTGATTGGCTAGGTCGGGTTTCCCGTGCAATTGATTTGAGTCGAGCTAGAGACTTCAGACCTCAGACTGTGTGAAACTTCGATCATGAATCCCTCATGAATTGGTTCTGAATTGTTTGACAGTTTTACAGAAACATTCTAACAGTACTTTGGCTTTGCGAGCCACAGGCCACAGTTTCGGGTGGTGAAGGAGTGCCTCAAGAAATTGAGGGACAGAAATCCAAAGACCTTCGTGGTAGAAGAAGTGCTTCAGCTGCAAGTTTACTGCAAACACAAAGCACTGGATGACTGCCTTTGACATCACTGTTTACAAGTCATGTGAGAGAGAGAGAGAAAAGTGAAAGGTGAAAGGTTGACCAAATCGAGTCACTCCACTGTGACTTGTCTACCCTCTACTGTCTACCAATTGGGGCTGCCTTTCAAGGTATGGACGATCACCAGGGAGTTTCCGAAGGAGCTGCCACATCCATGGTCAGCCTACAAGGCTCCAAGACTTTTTTTTTGCTCGAACTGGTCAATATGTCAAGAAGCTCATCAATATGGATCGGAATACTTGTCGACATGTTTTGTTATGTTAAGTTATGTAACTTTGCAACATTTCCAGCAGTTGTAGGTGCACTCCAAAGCTCCATTTTCGTAGCCAGTTGGACTGCACTGTGGTTGATTCCAATACGGTAGGGGAAAGTGACAGAAGTGAGCATTAGGCCTCAATGATTGGGGCAAGCATTTCACTGGGTGGCTAACAGCATTCGTCATTCGTTCATAACGCTGCAACATGTGCTGTGTGTGCAATGTAGGCACACAAACACACTCACTCACACACACATGAAGCAGACAGTCACCACATACTTGCTTCACAAAGCCGCTCCACCATTTCACTGCGCTCGACTGTGTGACAAGGGTGAGCAAGTAGTGCCATGGGTTACAGGTTGGCTCAAGGAAGCCTTCAGACAGGGACATGGCACACCCTGCAAGTAACCCATAAACGCTTGATTCCACCTACACAGAAGAGAAGCCAAAAACAAATGGAGTCTGAAGTCTCTATTTAGGCTGGAGGGGACTAGACTAGACCAGACTAGACCTACAGGCTATAGGCTAGGATACAATATTGTAACTCTAACTCTAACATGTTAACTCAACTTAACTTAACATATCATCATCCATCATCTTATAATATATATTTGTTTTTTTTAATTAATCATATCATATCATTTCATTTCATCCCATAATCCTATCTATGAATCATCTACTGTCAAAATAGCAAATATTCTGAGGCCAGTTAGACAAACCAGTCCAGTCCATTGATTGTTTGACAGGTTGACTGCCAGTCAAGTCTTGCCCTGCCACATGTCACATGTCGTCTTTCCAAGACTTGTGGAAACGCCTTCGCAGTGGTTCATGTGCTGATGAAGCCTCACCAAGCTCACCAGCATCCACATCATCTTCGGCCAATTCAGGCTGGAATGCGAATGGGAGCAGCAAGAACAGCTCTGACTCTGACTCAAACACTGATGAAGATGATCAAAAGAGCGAACAGTCTCAGTCCCAGTTGTTGAGATTGAAAAGGAGAGCTCAAACTGAGAAAGCCCGTGCTGCAGCACTGCTTGCACGGCAGAAG